CGGTAGTTGTTAGGCCGCCCCGGCCAGGGCACGAAAGTAGAGACTGTCTCCTCCTGCTGCTCCACCGTCTGCTGCAGCTTCTGCTGCAGTTGCTGCTGTTCTTGCTGCAGCAGCTGCGTCTGAGGTGGCTGCTGCGGCTGCGTCGCGGGCTGATGGTCTGTACCCCTCTCTACCGAAATTATCTCGCCCTGTTCATATGCCTGACTTCGTGCCTCCCCAGCGATGCACTGGCTGCTGCTGCTGCTGCTGCTGTTGCTGCTGCTGCTGCTGCTGTGCGAGTTTCTGTCGTATTTAGGGAAGCTGCTGTCGCAGAGGCCCGTCCCCTCCCGAGGCGAAAACTCTGGGGGCCTCTTGTTGTATTCTTGCTGCACTGGTTGGTGCTGTTCAGATGTACAATCCAGCTGCTGCTGCTGCTGCTGCTGCTGCTGCTGCTGCTGCTGCTGCTGCTGTTGTTGTTGTTGCTGCTGCTGCTGCTGCTCTAGGCTGCAAGCATCCACTGGGACCGAAAAGGGTGGCTGCGCCAGAGGCCCCGCGCCCTGCAGCATTGCCAGGGCCTCAATCCCTCAACAGAGCCCAGGGCCCCTCTAGGGCCAGGTAACAGCAACGGTTGCTGTAGCAGCAGCAGCATCAGCGGCTGCTGCTGTTGCTACTGCTGCTGCTGCTGGACGTACTTGTGGCAGCACCAGTGACAACAGCAGCCAGCTCACTCAGTTGCTGCAGCAGAAGAAGCGTTCACCAGGCCTGCTGTGCCTCGGGAGCCCTTCTGCTCTGTCGTTGCTACTGCCTCCGTTTCTGCTGTATAGAACCAGTGGTGCTGTTGTTGAGCAACCCTCAGCTGCTGCAGTGTGTATTCACTGATGACCCCCGGAAACGGCTTCTGTAGGCCTGGCTCCATGCACCTGCAGCTGCTGCTGCTAGTGCGCTGCTACTCCTCTGCTGCTGCTCGATAGCCTTCCGCTGCTGCAGCAGGGCATTCCCGCTGCCGTTGCTGCAGTGCAAATGAGAGGGTATTGGGGCCCCCCGTACTCATCTGCAGCAACTTTGTCGCTGCTC